TCTCATCCCAATTATCCCAGTCACTGAATCAATCCACCTCATAGAGGGCCTTCCCCTCCTGCGCTGTCTCTCCACGCTCCCAAGCATTATGTCCCTCTCCAAGGACTAGTCTTTCCTCACAACATGTCCAAAATATGTTAGACGGAGCCTCAGAATCCTTGCCTCCAAGGAGCCACCCGGTTTAACCCTTTCCAGGACAAATCTGTTTGTTTTCCTAGCAGTCCATGGCATTCTCAATATTCTTCTCCAGCACCACAGCTCAAAGGCATCAATTCTCCTTCTATCCTCCTTGGTCATTGTCTAACTCTCTGATGCATAACAAGTGATTGCGAAGACCATGGCCTGTATCAGACGCACCTTAGTCTCCAGAGAGACACCATTGCTCTTCAGTACTCTGGAGAGGTCCCTAACAGCAGATTTTCCCATGGCAATGCACTTTTTAATTTCTTGGCTACTGGTGCCAAGAGTGTTGACTATGGAGCCAAGCAAACTAAAGCTGTGAACAATCTCAATCTCTTCACCATCCATCCTGATGCTGCCAATTGGTCCAGTGGTGAGAATCTTTGTCTTCTTGACATTGAGCCTCAATCCATATTGGAGGCTGCAGTCCTTGACCCTCTGCAGTAAGTGCAGGAGGTCCTCTTCAGTTTCAGCAAGCAGGGTTGTGTCATCTGCATAACGCAGATTGTTGATAAATCAACCCCCAATCTTGACCCCACATTTCTCCTCATAGAGCCCAGCCTCCCAGATAATCTGTTCTGCATATAGGTTGAAAAGGTATGGAGATAGGATGCATCCCTGGTGTACGCCCTTCCCAATTTTGAACCATGCAGTGTTCCCTTGCTTTGTTCTGACGACTGCCTCCTGGTCCAAGTATAGGTTTCGCATTAGAACGATCAAGTGTTCTGGGATTCCCATTCCTCTCAGAGTCAGCCACAGTTTGTTATGATCCACACAGTCAAACGCATAGTCAATGAAACACAGTACATTCATTAATTAGGCATGTAAATACCAGTGCTGTCCAGAACATATAAAAAAAGGAGGACATTTTTCTCTATAGTAAGGCAAATAGAAAGAAGAGGTTCACAGAGCCTAGGAGGTGGGGTGCCTGGGTTTCACAAATCATGTACAGGTCAAGTGAGGGAAGCAGTGATTTCTTGATGTCAGAGGAAGGGAGCTACCTCTCAGTCCCTAGAGTTGCCCTAATATTTATGGCGGCTGTGTCTCACAAGATTCATGGTTAAAGTCACCATCTTCCTGACACCTACAATATTTTCAGATGTGTCCAGAGGTCGTCAGCTAACGAAGAAGGATCCCCACATTCCCACATCCTCAGCCGGCCTTTACTGTTGTAACACTTCAGCTGACAAGTTGCCTTTAATATGACAACCTGGACCCTTCTAGGGAAACAGACTGATGGAATATCTCTGTCAATAAGAATCATGGTTTTGGTCTGGAAGGAAGAAGCCATAATGCTTTCCTATCATGTAAAGTTTCTAGGAATTACCCATGGGTACAAGCCCAGCCTTAGTTATTACCTTAACTAGAAATAATGCAAACAGTTTTAAATTTGAGTGCTTAAATGCTCCGCTCCAAAAATAATTATTTTGAATGGTACTGACAGTCACATAATTTCAAATTAGCTTCATGGTTACAGAGCTGTGGAAATGGTTGTTGTTTCTGTTGTTATGTGCCTTCAAGTCAACTAAGACTCATACTGACCCTACGAATGACAGATCTGAACCTTGTCCTACCCTGAGCCAGACTCACCATCTCTGACACATCTAACCCATTGTCAGTCACTGTGTCAATTAATCTCATGCAGGGTCTTCCTCTCCTGCACTGACCTTTTACCCTTCTAAGCTAGATGTCTTTCTCCAAGGACTAGCTACTCCTGACAGCATCAAAGTATGTGAGACAAGGTTTTAAAATCCTTGCTTCCAAGGAACAAGGTGGTTTCACCTTCTCTAGGACAGACCTCTTTGTTCTCTTGGCAATTCCTGATATGCTCAATATTTTCCTCTAGCACCACAGCCCAAAAGCCACCCAATTCTGTGGTCCTGGAGAAGAATACTGAACATGCCAGACATGTGAAGAGAACAAAGGTGAAAATGGTACAGGAATTCAAATAGCTTACTATTGGTGGTACTATTAAATAGTGAGCAAGAAAACTAAGTAACATCTATGTTGGGATCTGGTCACTTTTTTGGCATCTAGTAGATTTGTTAAGCTAAAAAACCTATAATTATAAAGGAGAAAAATGTAATACAGCTATTGTGTATATAAACTTATAACTAGAAACATCATTATGTGTCAGGAAGACAATTGCCTTCTACTTATCCAATGGAAAGACTGATATTGAGTATCTAGGGATGGTAATGATAACAAAGGGGGGGAAAGGAAGAACAAATTCTCTTTTTCCAACTCATTAAAGGGTCCACCCACTATTGTGTTGATACTCTCAGCTCACCGCACCCCAATGCTAAGGTTGTTCCCAAACAGTGTACAGGAATGAACTATTTCAGTCTAGATCTCTTTTTTGCTTGTAGAAAGAGCAACATTTCATCCTTGACTTATGTTTAGTTAAGCTGCTTTGATTAATCTTAGTCAAAATGTATAAACCATTTTAGCTGAATGGCAAGGCCCTTATAAAGTAACACTAACAGTTCAGTTAACCCTTACAACAACCCTATAAAGTAGTTCCTGTCCTTATTCCACTTTAACTGAGGAGGAAACTAAGGTGTATAGGATTTTAAGGAGCTTGCCCAAGGCCACAAGGCTAAGAATTTACAGAGGAAGGATTCGAAAGGAGCAGTGGTCCCAGTGGTAAGGAGTTGCACTACCAACCCAAAGGCATGAAGTTCAAATCCATTAGAGGCTCTATCACAGAAGGATAGGCATTCTCTTCCTGTGTGATTTATCGCCACGGAAAACTTGCTAGAGAGTCAGCTATGAGTCAGTTTTGACAGAAAGGCACCTAAAATCAATGTCAAGGAACAATAGGTTGCCCGTCCTCGTCTCCTCAGACATGCTCAAGCCCAAGGTTAGTTACAGTCACCATGTCAGACCATCTTCTGGAGAGTAATCTTCTCTTTCCCAGTCTGATGTCTTTGTCCAAGGACTAGCCCTTTCTGACAACATGTACAAAGTATCTGAGATGAAGTTTCACCACCTTTGTCTTTAAGAAGCACCCTGTTCACACTTTCTCCACGACAGATTTCTTTTTTCTTTTGGCAGTTTAGACATATGATGTAGGCAAAATGTAAGCATTAACTTTGATTTGTACCAAATGAAATAAAATTTGATGGCTACACGAGAATATGCAAACCAGGAGGGTAGGCAACTCATGATAGAATTTATTCATTTCCCCCATCCCATGAGAGTAAAACTAAGCAGGTTTAACAGCACAAGACGGGAATCTCATTACCAATGAGGAAAAAGCAACAGAGAATGCAGCATGTGTCCTTCAGGGCCGGAGACTGGACGTACATGAGAGTATCAGCAGGCACAACAGAGAACCAGAGACTCACATGAGGCAAAACTACTTGGGACAGCTGCCCCGTAGAGCCAGGGGCCAGGGTCTTCCATTAAGCACCACCCAAGTTTAATGGAAGACTGGGGGAGACACTATAATTGGAAGATTAAGAAAGATTTGTAACACAGAGTGCAAGGCTGAAGATCAAAGGGCCTGTAAGAACCCTTGAAAAGCTGAGAAATTGTATCCAAATGCCAACCTGCACCGTAACCTATTGTTGTTACTGATGGCCTTCAAGTCGAGCACTGCTCATAGCAACCCTATGAACAAAAGGCCTGAAGCCTCTCTACCACTATCAACATTTATCAAAGTTCATAGAGCTTCTAGAGGCATGTTGTTTAGGAAATGAATGCCACTCCTGTCTCCAAACCTGTCATAGTATGCTCTGAGCCATTTAGTCATCTGAGATGTACAGCGACCCTAATGTACCTCTGAACCCTTCCCTGTCCTGAGCCAGTTTCACTGATTCTGACGCACCATTGTCCCGGTTACTATATCAATCCATCTCATCTGGGGTCTCCCTCTCCTGCGCTGTCCATCTACCCTTCTGATCATGATGTCCTTCTCTAAGGACTGATCTCTCCTGGCCACATGCCAACATAAATTAGGCAGAGCTTCAAAATTCTAGCCTCCAAGGAAAGACTTGGTTTCACTCTCTCCAAGGCAGACCTATTTGTTTTCTTGGCAGTCCATGTTGTGTTCAAGTTAACATCCCCAATAAACACTACAACCTTAAATGTGGCTCTGTGAAGTCTGTGTAGCTAATCCAATGGATTTTGAACACAATAATAGATCAATAAAATTAGTGGAAATAAGTGCAGAAGACCATGTCAGACCTTACGAAATTGGTTCTGTATTGTGGAGGTTGCTGTTCTCATTTGTGAAGTCAGACTTGATGATTCTCATGTTGTTTATATTCTTTTTTTTTTATTAATTTATTTATTTTTCATTTCAATGAACACCTACAGAGATTTTGGAATTCCATTCATTCATTAATCCACCCTTCGCCCCACCCACCCCCCTTCCCCCCCTCCCACTTCCCCCCATTAGCTCCTCTCCTTGAAAAGCAGAAGAAAAACTCCCTCATTGGTACACAATCCCTCCCCCCGCACTTCCACCAACCCCACCCCCAATCGCAGAGTGGATTATATTTGTTTATATTCTTTTTACAATGGAATATTACATATTCTTCACCAACACCACAATTCAGAGGCATCAGTTTCTCTTTGGTCTTCTTTATTCATTTAGCTACCGTTGGTATTTAGGTGTAAAAGATACTGTATTAAGCCCTACATTATATACATGAACATACTGATTTATCTTTGGGCGCTGGTAAAAGAGATAACAAAAGAAGGAAAAGGTCAAAAATTCTTTATATTTTTGGCAAACTATCTTGGATGTGCTTTGTGTCACTTAAGATTGCAAGATACAAGCAAAATAAGTTTTCTTTTCTCTTTCTTTGCAGGGGTGGAATGGTCCAAACCAGTGAACAGTATGAATTTGTGCATCATGCGCTGTGCTTATATGAAAGCAGACTTTCAGCAGAAACAGTCCAGTGATAAACTGAAGACTTAGGAACCATCAATCTCTTCGGGTAATTAATCTAATTACCGACCTGAGGCTTCTAGAAGGAGCTTTCCTCAGTGTAAGGAAAAGAGGAGTTCCAAAGCCAGCCTGTGGCATGGACTGTGGAAGACTTGGCAGTGTATTAAAGATTGCCAGTCCCTTGTGTATGTGAATGCATTTGTAAGCATCCCCCAAATTGTTTTGAAGGTACTAAGCTGATGGAAGTATGATAGATTTCTCACACATCCTGAGATGGATTTGTTTTCTCTGTATTGACTATCTGCCACACAGAATGTGTGTAGGTAACACTCAGTCATACATGTCAGATGACAATTCGATGAGCTACCAAAAAATTATTATTGTGTGTTTAGATGCTTTGTTATTAAAAAAACCTGTCTTGTGAATGGACTGTCAGCTGTTAAACTCTTCCTGTTTTAAGTGCTATTACCTTTCTCATTTACCAGAATCTTGCTGCTAAAGTTGCAAGTGATTGATAATAGATTTTTAACAAATAAGTTCTTCTTTTTGAAAAAAAATGCAGTAACTATTTTATATGGAAATGTGTCTTGATAATATTACCTATGAAAGGTGTATTTCTAGAACCTCCTATTGACCAATTTACAGAGCACAATGATTGTCATTCAGTATATCTGTGTTTTATTGGACATGGAGTCCAAAACTCTACACAGTGTATTTCTACATTGTGAATTGTTTTACTTCAAAAGGGAAAGCCAAATTTATAGAAACTGTGAACTATCAAGAATTTTAAATACACATCCATCCTTTGCTAATGGGGAATTTTTGAATATGCTCTCTACCTGGAATTTCTCTTCCAATAAAAGACAGATGCTTTTGGAAATGATACAACCACTCTCATTTCCAGAGGTTCTTCAAGAGACTGCTGCCGTGTATGTCCTTAAATTTCTGGAAGGTTCTAATCCACAAGAGATAAAGTTCAAATAACTACACCAAGCAAGCACTAGGTGTTGAGTTCAAATATCAATTTTTAATGCAGCAATGTTGACTTTGTTTCATACTGCCAATAAATTACTCTTAATACTAAATATTGAATCATGCATGTACTTCCTTTGTCCCCTCTCCTGTTTAAAGACAGACCTTTAGCTTTTGGGTTGGACTGGAGTAGATAATGTGGCGGACTTGATAGTAGTTTCAGCCTCTCCCTGATGGAGATGACTATCTACAAATATAGTCATGGCTCAAGAGATAATGAATGAGCTAGAAGCTCCATCATTGTGTGCTTTTCTCGAGAGGCATCCAGCATATCATTATACAAACAGAACCTATTTACAGCTTTCTATCACTTGTCATAGACTCTCATAAATCACAAGGTTTGTGTTTATTCAGCAGAATCACATCACCTGAAGAGATGTAATGCAGTAGGAACATTCAATTATCTAAGATTACAATACCCTTGAGGTTAAGAAGACAGAGATGAGTGAGCGCTTATGAGTTTTATTCTGCTCTGGACGCTGAAAATTTTTCCTAAATAAAAAAGAGAGAGGTAATCAAAATCCCTTCTTTCTAAGGAAACAGACAAAGGGATACTGGTGTAAAACTCCCCCAAACAATTCAATAGGAGGAAGTGCTCGTCACTGACTTTTCCCCCCCACCATGAAGGCACATTTCCTTCCTAGTCTCTGCTTCTCTTATCTGAGAGAAATGTTCCCCCCCAAGCGAAGCATGAACAGTTGTTAAGTGGAAAAATGGAGGCTGGATTTTACATGGTGGTTCTTACTTGCTTGCTCCTCGGGAACTCAGGTGAGTGTGTCTACCTCTGTTTCTTGCGAGATTTCTCCCCAATAAACCCAGCAGGCTCTGGCCTTTGGAAAGTGTCTGGAATGAGGTGGAAATGGAGCTAGGTCTCCATGACAGTTTAGCTAAATTATATGAAGAGGGGAATAAGAAGAGTCAGCTGTGCCCACACTATTGGGATTTATCTCCAAATAATAATGCTAGTAACTGGCCTCTTCATGTCCTCTCTTCCTGGAGCAACACCTGAAGGAGCATTTTGCAGCAGAGAGTAAAGTTCCCTGAAGGGGAATAATTATTATATAACAGTTTGTGGCATTCCCCATGCAGAGAAATATTTTTTCCCTTCCAATCAGATTATTTGTTTTATCATAAAGAAAGAAAATACAAGAAAAGGGAAGAAAGAGGATATGGTGTGTTTCAGCTGGAAGTTGTGATTTGGAAGGGCTGAATATTTTCATGAACAGCTGCGTAATTTAAGTAAAAACACATTGAAAATGGTTGCTGAGACTGAACAGCTCACGTCTCGGTACAGATGCTTACCAAGTGGTATTTCATTTTCTTATGTGGAGAAATGGTTTTTTTCAATAAATATGTGTGGATATATGAATGTGTATTTGGAGGAAAACTGTAGAAAGATTGTCACAAAACATAGAAATACATCTCTCCAGAACTATGTGAAATATAGTTTGTAATAATTTCACTGGTTTCTATTAACTATGAAGATGGCTTGGGAGGAAGGGAAGAAAAAAAATTCTGCCTTTGTATTCAAACTAATTTGTAGGCCAGTACAGCAATAGGAACTTAAAACTTTAAAACCTAATGGATTGTCTTTTTGGAGAGAGGGGTAGTTTTATGTTGAGGGGTGGGGTTTTTTTAGAATTGGAAAGCAAGTGATATTGAAAGAATGAAATGGTTGAAAGGAAGCTGGGCTTTTTAGAGCCTCAGCCAGCATGTTTACCTAAGTGAGATAAACTAATATACCATATTCTTTGGATGGTTTAATTTCTCCCCAAGCTCCCTTTTCTTATTTAAATGGGGGTGTGGTCTCTCCTCAAATCACATGACAGTAAAAGAAAGGGAGCTATGCATGAAATTTTGCCAAGTATAGGGTTTTAATCATGTGTGTTGAATCAGATACTATACACTTGAAATAATAGCAAAAATATAAGTAAATATAGTATTTTTTTCAATTCCTTAATGGATTGGTTTTGTTGGTTTTATAATGAACCATGTAATTTGGTATGTAGTACTTTATGAATTTTTCATCTTCCAGAAGGGTTTCAGATTGTCCACGTACAGAAGCAACAGTGCCTTTACAAAAATAAGATGGTGGCCATGGGCACATGCAATGGGACCAACCAAGACCAACAGTGGATGTGGACTGAAAATGACAAGCTCCTCCATATTAAATCCACCCTTTGCCTGGGCATCTCTAATTCCTCTCGTGGCCCTCTCCGCACAGTCATCTTGACCCAGTGCTCTCAGGCACCCCAATGGACCTGTTATGAGCAGGGAGGGCTCCTTGAGATGGAGAATACTTCTCTCTTTCTCAGGAAACAAGGCCCCAAGGTAACAGTCAAGAAGGACAAAAAGTACCCCCATAGCTGGATGAAAATGGACGTCAATGAGAAGGGAAAACTGGTCAATGAGAGTCTCTGCTTGAAAACAGGTGAGCTATCCCTTCTAGGATCAATTTGGAAAAGTTTTATACCAAATGTCAGTTTTTTTTTCACATTCAAGGGAAGTCTAAATGTTTCTAAAAGGTCCATAAACTAAGGAAAAGGAATGGTGTGGTGCCAGTGACTTGGAAAATATTAACTGCATTCAAATAAGCACAAATGGTCTTTCAAAATATAAAAATTTTTTTCCCTTTGTTTCTCTTTCATAACACCAAAAAAATATTTCTAGAGCCTCTGCTTTGTGGCAAACACTGTGCTAGGCACCTTGAGTTATGTGTCAAGGAATACAAATCTAGGCATAAACACACGATGTCTGTATAATGACTAAAGTTCATCAGTTGATTCATGTATGTCAGTTATTAGAAAATTATTAGATTTGTTGACATAGACTCTTTTCATCTGAGCTTGATTATAAGGAATTGTTAGAACATCAAGAGAGCATTTGAGAAAAGTGTCGTTGTTGCTATGTACTGTCAAGTCAGAACCAACCCATAGCTGACCCTCCTGCAGATTTTCAGAGTCAGTAAATTGCATGGGATGATTGCCCATCTTTCTCCCATGGAGCAGCTGATGGATTTGAACTGCATGATCTGGGATTGCAGCACAGCTTCTTACTGCTAGGGAGATAAATTATGCTTTTAGAAACTTCTTGTTCTGATATTAGGGGTAGATATCTGTTAGTGGTAATATGACTTTGAAGTGATAACAATTGATGGACATGACCCAGATGACAGATATGTATGAAACCTTGTATCCATGTGCAAAAATGACTGGTGCAGAAAATCTTGAGCGAGAAAGTTTTGTTCATGCCTTGGTGGTGGTGCAGTGCATTGTGTGTTAGACTGCTAACCCAACTATTAGTTGTCTAAGTCCACCAGCTGCTATGCAGAAGATAGTCCCTCCCCTTCCTTGAAGACCCGTACTCTCAGAAACCCAGTGAAGGACCACCATTAGTCAAAATCAACTTGACAGCAAGGAGTTTTAGTTTGTATGAAGCTAGATCTTTCCCTTTACTTAATGAGTTTATTGCTCTTTTGTTTCTCTACTCAATATTTGACTTAGGAAATCATAAAAGATAAAATTTACAGAATAACAAGGTCAAATTGACCTTAAAAATTTGCAGAGAAATCTCCCAGACATAAAGATTTTCATTAAAGATTCAAGTATCAAGATTTATGCCAGGTAATTTACTGGTAGAGGCACAATCTGAATCCAAGTTTCTTAACTCCTTGTACAAGATGTTTTGCCAAATACAGGATACTATACCAAATCTGGAGACTAAGGTGCACCTGATCCAGGCCATGGTCTTTGTAATCACTTGCCATGCATCAGAAAGCTGGACAATGACTAGGGATGATAGTAGGAGAATTGATTCCTTTGAGCTGTGGTGTTGGAGAAGAGTATTGAAAATACTATGGATTGTTAAGAAAATGAACAGGTTCATCCTGGAGAGGGTTAAACCAGGCTTCACCTTGGAGGCAAGGATTCTGAAGATTCATTTGACATACTTTGGGCATGCTGCAAGGTGGGACTAGTCCTTGGAGAGGGACTTCATGCTTGGGAAGCTGGAGGGACAGCGCTGGAGATGAAGACCCTCAATGAGATGGGTTGATTCAATGACTTGGTTAATGGGGATAGGTGTGTCAGAGACTGTAAGATTGGCACAAGGATAGGGCAAGGTTTAGGGCTGTTGTACATAGGGTCACTATGAATTGCAAGTGACTTGATGGCACATAACAATATATCAAGTCAAACCAAAGTTACAGTGTCAAGTTGATTCCAACTCATGGTAACCCTCCATTGAGTTTCTGAGGTTATAAATCTTAATGGAAGCCTCTTCTTCTCCTGTGGAGGTACTGGTGGATTTGAACTACCAGTCTTTCAGTTAGTACTCTTTCCATTATACCAGTGTTTCCCAAATCCTTGACTACAGATCATTACTTTACTGACTGCATAAGAGTCACTAGGATAACAGGAAAGAGGGCTTTCCTTCCTGAAATTTTTACTTCCTCCATTGTTGTTGTTGTTGTTGATTGCCTTCAAGTCATTACCACCTATGAAAGTTCTAGGAAATGTGTATTGGACATAATATTTAATGCTTTCTAAAACTTCCCAGATATTTTTGACCCATAATTCCATTTAAGGATCAATATACACTGTCCCCTCAAATTTCTTTCTTGGGTATTGATTTTTTAGTTTTATATGAGTCTTTACCATGCTGCTCTTTGGGCAATTTCCTATCACTGTCATATTGGCAGAAACTTACACTATCACTCATCACTTTAATAAATTTAACAAACATTTAATTAGATACCAGTTGAATATGGTAGGTTCTTCTGTAATAGAATGTCAGAGTTATGGTCTCTTATCACTTCTGACTATGATAATTACATAAAAATACAAAAGATGATTAGAAAATTCAAATTTATTAGAGAACACATACATGTAGCATTAATTTGTACAATTCCTTTTCAGTGATACATCTACTTAGACCCATTCTAAACAACAAATGAATAGTATAAATATTCCAGTTGAAGAGTTATGTATGAGAAGTGAAATCTCCTTTCCCAAAAATTCCAATCAAACTATTCAGGAGAAAATTTTCTATTGGAATTATGAAAATTTAATAGAGAGTACCTCACATCAGAATAAAATTCACAGATAAACTCTTCCCTTTAATCCTCATATTGTAAGAAAGTGTCACCAACCCGAAGGTACGCATTTCGAACCTACCAGATACTCCATGGGAAGAAGGTGAATACATGTGCCCAGAGCATCTGAAAACCCACTAGAGTCATCTATGGGTTGGTTCTAACTCAACAATAATTAACAAAGAGTGTCTAGACCATTTGCAATCAATTACTAAACAGAGCCAAAACATTCCCAATAATGTGCCATGTGGAAAAAAATTGGAAGAAATTTACAATCTTATATTTGCATACATGTAAATACAACACATACTTTTACTTTAAAATATACAATCTAACAATGTTTTTCTATTCCATTAAACTTGAAAAGCCAATTGCTACTGAGGTGATTCCATGATTCGTTGTGACTACATCAATAATATGTATCAACATAAATAAATGTGAATCTGTTCATTCACAGATTAGGAATTATTTTCTATTTTACTAAGTTCTTGAGCTTATAAGTATATAGATAGAAGTATGCCTACTTATGGTCAAAATCTAGACAGATTTCATATTGCTGTTGTTGTTATGTGCCGTCGAGTCGTTTGCGACTCGTAGCGACCCTATGTACAATAGCCCTAAACCCTGCTCTATCCTGTGCCAATCGCATTGCCTCTGACACACCCATCTCGATTACCCCAGTCACTGAATCAATCTACCTCATAGAGGGTCTTCCCCTCCTGCGCTGTCCCTCCACTCTACCCAGCATGATGTCCCTCTCCAAAGACCTCTCTCTCCTTACAACAGGTCCAAAGTATGTCAGACGAAGCCCCAGAATCCTTGCCTCCAAGGGGTAGCCTGGTTTAACCCTCTTTAGGATGAATCTTGTTTTCTTGGCAGTCCATGGTACATTCAATACTCTTCTCCAGCACCACAGCTCAAAGCCGTCAATTCTCCTTCTATCCTCCCTAGTCATTATCCAATTCTCTGATGCATCACAAGTGATTGCAAAAACCATGGCCTGTATCAAGCAGACCTTAGTCTCCAGAGAGACACCGTTGCTCTTGAGTACTTTAGAGAGGTCCCTAACAGCAGACTTTCCCATCGCAATATGTTTTTTTATTTCCTGGCTACTGGTGCCAAGAGTGTTGACCGTGGAGCCGAGCAAACTGAAGCTGTGAACAATCTCAATCTCTTCACCATCCATCCTGTGCTACCGATCGGTCCAGTGGTGAGAATCTTTGTCTTCTTGACATTGAGCCTCAGTCCATACTGAAGGCTGCAGTCCTTGACCCTCTTCATGATTTTATTCAAGCATCCATGCAGTATCTTGAATCAAATTAAAATTGAGTGGCATTTATCTAATAATCATGTACCAGACCTTGTGTTAAACCCAAAAAAGCACTGCCATTTAATTGATTCAAACTCATGGTGATCCTCCATCATATTCCCAAAGTGGAAAATTGTGTGATATTTGCCTCCATCTCCTTCACAGCAACTTGTAGACTGGAGCTTTAACCTTTCAGTTAGCAACCCAACGTATGACATGCTGCACTACCAAGGCCCCTTAGATTTTGTGTTAGTAATCATACCCTAGATAAGTGAGTTTGAACCGGGGTTTGAACAAATTCATTCCAGATTGAGCTCATGTTGAGAATTTGCATTTCTATCCAGGAAAGTCTGCTGTTAGGGACCTCTCTAAAGTACTCAAGAGCAATGGTGTCTCTCTGGAGACTAAGGTAAGCCTGATACAGGCCATGGTCTTTGCAATCACTTGTTATGTATCAGAGAGTTGGACAATGACTAGGGAGGATAGAAGGAGAATTGATGCCTTTGAGCTGTGGTGCTGGAGAAGAGTATTGAATGTACCATGGACTGCCAAGAAAACAGATTCATCCTAAAGAGGGTTAAACCAGGCTACCCCTTGGAGGCAAGGATTCTGGGGCTTCGTCTGACATAATTTGGGCATGTTGTAAGGAAGGACAGGTCTTTGGAGAGGGACATCATGCTTGGGAGGGTGGAGGGACGGCGCAAGAGGGGAAGACCCTCTGTGAGATGGATTGATTCAGTGACTGGGGTAATTGGGATGGGTGTGTCAGAGGCAATGCAATTGGCACAGGACAGAGCAGAGTTTAGGGCTGTTCTACATAGGGTCGCTATGAGTCACAAATGACTCGACGGCACATAACAACAACAACAGCCCAGGTATTAAAGAACTGATACAAGCCATGGTATTTTCGGTTGCTTGTTATACATCTGAAAGTTAGACAATGAATAAAAAAGGCTGGAGGAGAAGTGATACATTTTAATTGTGGTGCTGATGAAGAGTATTGAGTATCCCACCGACTGCCAAAAGGACA